CCAATAAATTACACTTTTGGTCAGTGTGTGTTTGTTTATGTATGTGTGCACATATTTAGAAGCTAATGAGAAATACATGAATCACCCCTCGTTAGGCCCGTTTCTCCCAGCCTGTCCATTTCCCCACCTTTGATGAGATGCACATGATGACCCCCCCCACACCTAAGTATATGTGCTTCGTTCCACTCCCTGACAGTCAGAAAGTGTGTGTGTGAATTGTATCTTTTCCTCATGGCACCCTAACGTGTGTGTGTGTGTGTGTGTGTGTGTGTGTGTGTGTGTGTGTGTGTGTGTGTGCGCGCGTCAGAGGCCAAGTGCCAGAGCCCACTAATTTCCCTTCTATATCTGCCATTTACCATTTGAACCAAATGGTTATTAATGATTAGACACAATGAGACAGGGCCGAGCCATGTTGGATATAAGATGCGTCCAATTTAAACAGCCATTTCTTAAAATGCATTTTTCTTATCATTTCATAATCGGTTTATATATATATATTTTTTTTCATAGAAGAACAATGCTTAAGGTGAGTCTAGTAATTTAATGTACTGTAGGCTCAATTAAAAACATAAATTCTCAACATTAACTGCAGTTATATCTTACGAAAACAATGATTTGATTGTTGTTGTGTTTTCCCTAGAGTAAGAGGAATCCCACTCTCACGCAGTAAATAACAGGGAAATGCTTCCATACTCTCTCAAAAGTGAAAAATATGCCAGTAAAAACACAGCTTACTAATTCACACATTTTCAAACATTTAAAAAGTACATACAGTAAACAACAAATCGACAATTTCTTCTTCTCAGAAAGTTTTAAGACAATTCAAAACCAAAAGGATCTTAAAGTAATTTATTTTTTTGTTCATATTTCAATCAAATGCATGTTAATTCCCTTGTCCCCAAGGCAGCTGAAACAAGTTGTATCACTGCTGTGGAATAAGGTAGACTACTTCTCTCAAGAAATGGACTCTTGGTTGTGAAAAACAAGTTGATTTGCATTGGATACAAGTGTTATTACCTTAGCAGCTTGGCAGCTTTTCCCTTTTTTATATACAATAAGATGGATACTTTGTGAATATCACATGCACAAACTCTCTCCCTCTTTTGCTCCTTTACTTCACTTTCTCTCTCTCACACAATAGCCTGACACCACATAGCTCTTCATCAGGGCCTCGTGCACGTGCAGAAGATTACCTTGTCCCCTGATTGCCACCACACAGGGAGGGGGAGGTTTTTTTTCTTACAAATTAGTGGATAAATAGATACCCCTCCACCATCGCCACCATTCACCCCCCACCCCGTCTCTTCCACCTACTCCACCCATCCACCCTGTGCCTAATGACGGGGGCTGGGGAGCGGTAATGAAAAACTATACATCACAATCAGCCGGACAGTCCTATTCATGGCTATGCATTATGCTCACTAGTCATAATCATCGCTGCCGTGACAGAGGGAGAGATGTGGAGAGGGAAAGAAACAAGGGAGAGATGGTAGGAGAAGAGGGAGAGAGGGAGGTGGTCTGAAAAGCAGCAGAAATAATGAAATTGTAGGTAGGAAAGGGAGGAAATGGAAGGAGAGAGTGCAGAGGAACTATGACAGAGAGGAGAAGTAGAGGGAATGCAACTCCATCAGCTCTGTTTTTAAGCATTACCTCTGTAATGAATGCACTGCACACAAGGACACTGCCGCTGCTCTGCAGCAGTGTCACCTGGCTGACAGAGTATTTCTTCCTCTGCTTAGCGGAATAATAGTTATGAGATTCTGAGGACTACAGTAGGCAGCATGGCAATCGCATACAATGCTAATGCTTATTGCAAAAGCTGTCCTCACCAGTCCAGTACATCGATAACATTTACAGCACGTGATTTACGTCTAAAGGCAACGCTCAGTGTCAATGTAGGAGGCTGTGTGTCCTTTATTAAATTAGGACAAAAAGTCTTGATGTGGAGGTCGGATGGTGGATGGGTGTAAAGGGCTTCCCATCCAAGTCCAACAATTAATGTTGACCTTCTCCTCAACCGTAACCACATTTTTTCCCCTAACCTTAATCAAGTGTTTTAATGGCCTAACCTTCTCCACACCTAAAGGCCCTTACACACTGTGTGATAACAGTGATCCTGCAGGTTCATTGCGTGTCACACTGTTCAAGATGAGTCTAATAAAAACTTGATTACAGTCTGTCTGCTCTAACACATCAGATTTGATATATCGTGTGTTGGATGGAATATATGCATGACAGAAGACTTGTTGCATTTCTTGTTTGTTTTGAATGTGCAGTTAGAACTAAAGAAAATAACATTGTTCAGAGGTATACAGTGTATGATGTGAAGTAGGGCTGGGCGATATATCGAGTTTACACGATACATCGTGGATTGCACTACATGCAATGTCGTAAATGACAACATCGTGAACATCGAGTATTACGTTGTCAAATCAGTTTCCCGCCGCGGCGAAAGTGAGCTTTCCTTTCTCCCTCATAGACACAGTCACACACGCCGGCACACACGCAGGCCCCGCCCAACCTTGCACACAACACCACAGTAGAGGCATTTGTTTGAGGAGAGGCGAAGTTAGCTAGTTAAATGGTTTAAACCTAGCACGAACATGGTAATAAAACCGGAACGATATGGAAGATAGAGGTGCCCGAGGCCTGACGAATCTTGTTAAAAAACGAACAGCACTGGGTCCGTCAATTTGCGTGTTTGGTTACCATTACAGGATGAGTTCCCTCCAATACATACGGTAATCTGTAAAATATGGCAGCAAATCCGTTGCCGCCAAAGGTATAAGTACCCCTCAAATTTGTTAACATCTAAAAATCCATCCATCCACTACAAAATGAATGAGTGTGTTAAAACTCAGAATGTCAATATCTGGTTACACACAAACGCTAAGCAACCAGCCAGGATATCAAATGGAAACTCTGGCTTCTTCTTTTTCGAAATCAGTCCCGTATGACAAAAAAAGTTCAAAATGATAGAACTCACGGCTGCAGTGACTCAAACATTGCCCAAACACATGGCCCACGAGTCAGAGTGGTGCTCAAGAAAAAGCCGGGTTGTTCAAAAACTCGTGACAGACACCTTGACCCAAAGTCATAACTCCTGGTCGTAAAAATATTTTGCGGGAGAAAGCTCTGCCAGCCTTGTACGTTGAAGTGAGAGAAAAAGTGACAACCACTACAAATGTGACCCACTTCTCTACGACTACAGATTCTTGGTCCCATAGAACCTGTGAGCATATCCAGCTTGACCGTTCATTACGTCGACAACTGGAGTTTGACAGAGTGATGCCTCCAAACTCCTTTTTCCGGAGATACACACAGGCGAGATAATAAGCGCAGTTTACCAAGAGGCTCTCCTGTCATGGAATTACCAGAGGCTCGTCAGGTGTTGTATCACCACAGATACACGGAAGTAACATCCGTCCAAAGCTGTGAGCCTCAACTAAGTGGAAAGACCGCAATGTTTTGCACCGGCCTGCACCTCGCAATTGGTGAATAGGACATCTGCTGCCCTCTTTATTTTTTTATATCAGCGATGTTACAACAGCCTGCTAGAAACACTAAAGAATACCTTCATAACGTTTTGTGCAATTCATAGTAATGAAAATGCAACCACACACTATTTGGCCTAAGTTGATTTAAAACTCGGACTGAGATTTAAGGACTGATTAGTAAAAACATTACCTCGCAAAGGTTTTTTTCTTTTCTGTATTAGTGTCAGTAGTAAAACCTACCAGCCAGGTAATATTTGTGATATTTTGGATAACCAATTATTGTTAAATAATTTTGGTTATGCTCATCCTCCCAAGTTAAACTTTTTTGTTATTTACATGTGCCCTTGAT